TTTAAGTGCTATAACTTTTTTATTTGTACTCTGATTGTTACAAAAAATATACTAAAATTCATAACTTTTTATTATCTTTCATATGACACCAATATTGAATATATAAATAAAAAATAATTTAACACTTTAAAAATTATGCGTCTCTCTTTTAAAGTGTTACATTTTTTTTGAAGATAACTGCGAAGTTAAACAGCGCAGTACATTTCGAAAAATCATTTGACTGCCTTCCCGGATGAAGTTTTAGCTGAAATTTGGTATGGGTAAACTAGACTTAATGAATAAGATGCTAAAATAATTCATCAAAAAATTCCACCGGGAACCGCCCCAATTAGCGACGGCCGGGCAGAATCTCCTATATAAGAGGCTAATTGAACACTTTAAGTCAGTTCAAGGGCCTATTTGACCCTTTAGCCTTTATATAATAAAACAAAAACAAAGAAAGTAACGTGCGTAGCAATTTTCGGGTTCCAAACAGAGGCGGACGTATGTTGTTAATGGGGGCACATGCCCCCAATGACTTTCTAATTTTTTAATACTATATACTCCATTAATATTAAAAAACAAAGTGTGCCCCCAATGAAAATAATGGGGGACCCCATTAAAATATTAGACACTCACTAATTGTTAAGTTAATTCCAAGACTCCAAGCTCTAATAAGGTGATAGTGTCATACGGTCCATAGTCTTTATTGTTTTTTAGTTTTAAGTTCTTACACTTTTTCTAAATTTAATTCACAGAAGATATTCCATAGTCAATAGACTCAATAATGGATAGAGATTACGGTAGCAGCATGAATATTAAGATGTCTGCATCTCTTAGAAATCCACCCTATTGTTGCCTACTGAACAAGCAAAAACGTTGAATCTTAGAATTTTCTAACCATCTCCTTTTTCATATTTCACTTCGTAACTAAGTAATTAGTTATTAGGAATTTACTAATATACTACGTATTCTTTTACATTATTTTGTTAATTGATTAGAGTTTTCAGATTAGAGTTTTCATATATCGATTAATTAATTAGAGTTTCCAAATAAGAGTTTTCAGATTTTATTAGTTAATTAGAGTTTTCATATCTTGTTTCTTAGAATTTAATTATAAATTTAATTTATCTTGTGTGTTTAGACTTTAGAGCGTGTTATTTAGTTCGTAGAATTTTAAATTTCGATGACATCTTAATCACATAGTCGTGTGAATTTTATTTTTTATTTATTAGTTGATTACGAGTCTTGTTTGGGCAGATTAAACATATTATTTACGAAGTATAATTTTTAAAACTTAATTTCTTTGTATAAATTAAACAATGACAACGCGATCCTATAAAACAAAAATATTGCCTCCATTCAAACAAAGCGGGGATGCGGGACAAAGTTCAAGTGCTAATGTACTCCCTCTATCCCATAGAGAAGTTCCTATTACGTTTTATGATGTATGTTTTACTGACGGTAAAGCAATTTAATCCTTGTTCACACTCTGTTGACGGGGTATATATTTTCTAGTTTGCTAACATCTGATTTTTCCATCTGTCCAAGTTATTTTATACTACGTACGTTTTAGAAATTTTCTCACTTCTACTTAATTGGTGCCCCCAATAGTCAAATTTTCTAGATCCGCTCATGGTTCCAAACGTACCCTAAAATAAATGGTTTCAAGAAACCGATTCCGGCCTGTTTCTTGATCCATAGATAGATACATAAAAGTTTATGGTGCTATTATTCTTTTGTTGTTTCATTGCATTGGTAGCATCGATATCAAGCAACAATGGAAACCCATTGATCAACACTTCAAATTTCCAAGCAAATACCCATGAAATGGGTGCTAGGGAGATCAATCCAACCAAAGCTCTTGATCCAGGCTTGGTATTCGAAACACGAACCAGTGATTACCTCAACTTCTTATGCTTTTATGGCTACCAAGAGAAACACATCAGAGCAATATCAAAGACAGCATTTGAATGCCAAACTAATGGTACTACCTGTAAACTTTTACAGAAAATTGAAGATCAAAGGAGTATTTCCTTGATTCAGAGAGAAAGATAGCAAGTGTACAGATTGTAAGATCAGGAAGAATCGATATCTTCTTATTAGGTCTTATATTTACACTTTTTATATGATGTAATATTAAAGTAAAAATAATAAGAAATAAGTATTTGCAATTTAGTCCTTCAGCTCTTTCTTTTCATTATTTTGATCTCCTTGATACCCCCCCTCAAGATGAGCATGGATATCTAACAGGTTCATCTTGACAGTGAATTCTTCAAAGAGTGGATTTCCCAGAGCTTTAGTATATACATCTGCAAGTTGACAATGATTTTTAATGAGTTTAAGGTTGATCAGTCCAGTAGAAATTTTTTCTCTTATAAGGTGGCAATCAAGTTCTATATGTTTGGTTCTTTGATGTTGAACTGGATTATGAGCCAAAAAATATGTAGATTGATTATCAATATGCAGATTAATAGGAAAAAGATGTTGTATTTTAAAGTCCTTTAAAAGATAATGAAGCCATTGTGCTTCACAAACAGCATTGGCTGCAGCCCTATACTCACTTTCAGTAGATGATCTACTGACAACTTGTTGTTTTTTAGATTTCCATGAAATAAGAGAATTGCCAAGATAAAAACAATAACCAGAAACACTTCTTCTAGTGTCAACACAACCTGCCCAATCTGAATCACTATAACCAGAAAGTTTAAGATCAGAATTAATGGAATAGAAGAGTCCTTTACCTGGAGCATTTTTGAGGTATCTGAGAATTCTATGAGCAGCATTTAGATGAATGTCAGTAGGTTTAGCAAGAAATTGACTTAAAGTTTGAACACTGTAAGCAATATCAGGTCTAGTTACAGTAAGATATAAAAGTTTGCCAATAAGAGTTCTATAGACTTTAGGATCAGATAAAGCAGTACCATTTTCTTTTGAAAGTTTAATTTTGGAATCCATGGGTGTACTGTAAGGTTTACAATTTAAGTAACCATTCTCAGAAAGAATATCTAAAGTGTATTTTCTTTGAGAAAGACAAATTCCTTTTTCAGATCTGGCAACTTCAATACCAAGAATATATTTGAGATCCCCAAGGTCTTTAATAGTAAAAGTATTATGTAAAACATCTTTAACATAATTAATTTCAGTCTTATCATTACCAGCTAAAATTATGTCATCAACATATAAGAGTAAAACTGTTATAGAATTATCATTACTTTTTGTGAAAAGAGAAAAATCAGCCTGAGACTGAATATAACCAATACCTTGGAGACATTCTGACAGTTTGTAATACCATTGTCTTGAAGCCTGTTTAAGGCCATATAGACTTTTCTGCAATTTGCATACTCTGGTATCACCTGGAGATAAGTATCCTGGTGGAGGCTGCATATATATGGTTTCTAAAAGATCTCCATGTAAAAAAGCATTGTTAATATCAAGTTGTTGTAAAAACCAATGTTTTGTAGTAGCAATAGCAAGAAGAAGTCTAACAGTGGTTAATTTTACAACAGGTGAGAAAGTATCAAAATAATCTAATCCTTCTTCTTGAGTATAGCCTTTAGCAACTAACCTAGCTTTATATCTTTCTAAAGTGCCATCAGATTTGAGTTTAGTTTTATAAACCCATTTACAACCAACAGTATGTTGTTGAGGTGGTAGATTAACAAGAGTCCAGGTATTGTTTTGTTCAAGAGCTTGAAGTTCAGTGTTCATGGCAGTCTGCCATTCAGGATATTTAATAGCCTGCTTATAAGTTTTAGGTTCTTTAATAAGAGAAATACTAGCAGTAAAACATTTATAAGATTGATCAAGTCTATTATCACTTATATGATTAGATATAGGATATCTAATGAGATTACAAGATGATTGATGAGTAGGTTTTATAGAATCAGGGAGACTATAATCATAATTATGTAAGTAGGTAGGAATACTTCTTACTCTAGAAGATTTCCTTTGAGGAGAGGTTTCAGGATCAACAATATTCATGTCATCCTGAAAAGAAGAAGTATTAGTAGATTCTGAACTATCATTGATAATATTATAATTAATAGTATTGAATTCCTCACTTATTTGATTATCTATAAAAGAATTAGAGTTTACCTGAGTTGAAGTAGCATATGACTGGTCAGTAGATACAGTATGATTATCAGTAGAAGTATTATCATTATTTGAAGAATTATAAAAGTTATCATAAAAGAAATTTGTATAAGAGTCATTTGAAGATGTAGATTGACCATTGTTTAAAGAATTATAGGATTTTTGTAAAATATCCTTGTATGGAAAAATATTCTCATAAAATTGAACATGTCTAGAAACAAAGATTTTATGTGTGTTTAAGTCATATAATTTGTAACCTTTATAGCCAAAAGGATAACCAATGAAAACACACTTTGATGCTCTAGGATCAAATTTATTTCTATTGGCAGTTAGGGTAGATGCATAAGCTAAACAACCAAACACTTTGAGATGAGAATAATCAGGTATAGTGTTATACAGAAGTTCAAAAGGACTTTTATTATCTAAAATAGCAGTAGGAGTTCTATTTATTATATGAACAGCAGATAAAACACAATCAGACCAAAAAGTAATAGGCAAACAAGACTGAAAAAGGAGAGATCTAGCAATCTGGAGGATATGTTGATGCTTTCTTTCTACTCTACCATTTTGTTGAGGAGTTTCAACACAAGAAAGTTGATGAATAATTCCATTGGACTGATAAAAACTGGAAAACATAAATTCAGCACCATTATCGGTTCTTATGATTTTAATTTTCTTATCAAATTGAGTTTGAATAAGTTTGTAGAAGTTCATTATATGAAAACGAGTTTCAGACTTAGTCTTCATCATAAAAGTCCAAGTACATCTAGTGTGATCATCAACAATGGTTAAGAAATACTTAAAACCAGAATAGGAAGCAGTACTAAAGGGACCCCAGATATCCATATGAACCAAGTCAAAAGAAGCAATGGCATGAGAAGTACTATCAGTAAAAGAAAGTTTCTTTTGCTTGGAAAAGTGGCAAATATCACAAGGTGTGATGTTATTACAAGATTTATTGTCAAAAGAAATAGGAAAAGAACTCAGTTTATTAAAAGGAGTGTGGCCAAGTCTAAAGTGCCAAATGACAGGATCACTGTGTGGAGCAGTAATGGCAGACTGTGCAGAAGCAGTATGATTAGGAAGATGTAACTGATAGAGTCCATTTTTTATTTCAGCATAACCAATGATTTTCTGTGTACTTTGGTCCTGTAACACACCATAGTTAGAAGAGAAATTAACAGATAATTGTTCATGTAAAGTAAGACTTGATACAGAGATAAGATTATAATTAAAACTGGGAACATACAAAACATTATGTAAAGTTAGATCATTATTTAATTGAACATCTCCTATGTGAGTAGCAATAGTAATATTACCAGTAGGTAATTGAATGTTAACAGAAATAGATTTTGGCTTAGAAGTATACATACTTAGATTATTAATCATATGATCAGAAGCGCCAGTATCAATGATCCAGTTAGAAGCTGAATATATACCTTTGAAAGCATTGTTATCAGGAGATGAAGATTGTTGAGGACCAGGAGATTGAGACATGGTCATGGCAGCATGAGCAGAACTAGAAAGAGATGATTGATTCTTCATGAACTGAAGAAACAGATTGTAGAGTTCTGGATTGCATAGGTCTAAGTCAGGACTATCAGTTGAAGTAGATGCCAAATGTGCCTGAGATGATTTGTTAGCATTTGTAGATGAAGGTTTGAAGCCAGGGGCAAATCTTTGACCCTTAGGACCTTTCCAATTAGCAGGATAACCAATCAATTGGTAACAACGTTCAGAGGAGTGGCCTTGAAAACCACAATGAGAGCAAATGCCAGTATACTTTTTCTTTGGATTAGATTTGGCAATGAAAGCAAGAGATTCAGTATTGGATGATGTAGCAATGGATTGAGATTGAGTATTAGGAATATGTTGAGAAAGCATTGCTACAGATTCAGTAGGATTATGTAAAGAACGCTGAGATTCTTCTTGAAGAAGAAGAGAATAGACAGTAGACAATTTTGGAATAGGAATTTTTAACAAGATCTGACTTCTCAAGACATTGTAAGATTCATTGAGTCCAATGAGAAATTTATAGACAGAGTCTCTCTGTAAAAGTTCTTGATAAAGTTCATTGAGATTGCAAGTACAATTACCGCATTTACAGACAGGAGGAGTCCTATAATTGCAGTATTCATCCCATAGAGTTTTGAAAAAGTTATAGAAAGCAGTAAGAGATTGAGAACCTTGAGACAGATTAGTCAAAGATTTTTCAAGCTGAAAAACATGAGGTCCATCGCTCTTTCCATATCGAAGCTTAACTTCTTCCCAGACATCTTTAGCCACGGTAAAGTAGAGAAAAGTAGTACGAATTTCAGGTATAATCGAGTAAACAAGCCAAGATAGAAGGAGCGCATTTACCCGATACCAAGCCAAGTAGAGAGGATCATCAGATGAAGGCTGAGATATGGTTCCATCAATAAACGCCATCTTGTTTTTGACCGTAAAAGCCATAACAACAGATTTCTGCCAAGCATTGTAATTGTCACCGTTAAACATTTCGTAGATGATCCTAACGCCTGAGTGATCGGCTGGATGCAGATAATATGGTGACGAAGGATCTTCGGTGAGATTCTGATTATCCGGCATCTTCACGAATTTAGCGATCAAAAACGGAAAGAGAATTCAGATGAGCGGAAGAAACGATCGAATCTGAAGCTAAACTGATACCATGTAAACTTTTACAGAAAATTGAAGATCAAAGGAGTATTTCCTTGATTCAGAGAGAAAGATAGCAAGTGTACAGATTGTAAGATCAGGAAGAATCGATATCTTCTTATTAGGTCTTATATTTACACTTTTTATATGATGTAATATTAAAGTAAAAATAATAAGAAATAAGTATTTGCAATTTAGTCCTTCAGCTCTTTCTTTTCATTATTTTGATCTCCTTGATACTACCCGGAAACTTATACCAAACCTAAATTTCCCTTCGATCTCCATCGGCGAACAAACCCAGCAGGAAGGTGTCACAACTGTCAAGAGGGTTTCCACCAACGTGGGCCCCACGGATGCTGCTTATATTTCTTCTGTTGTTGCTCCGAAGGGTTTGAATGTTATGGTTTCTCCCAAAATGATTGTTTTTAATAAAGGAAAGAAGAAATCCTCTTTCTCTGTCTCATTTGATGGTAGGAAAGCCTCGAAAGGGTATCACTTTGGAGCGGGGCGGTCTAATGAATTTGGAGGTCCCGGTTCTAAATGAGAAATTTTGGCCCTCTAAAATAAGAAAAATACAAAATTTAACAATGAAATACAAATAAACTGGACATTTTAATGAACCATAAATTTTATAATGTTTAAAGTACACAAATTAGAGAATCTAAAAATCAAATTTTGAATAATACATATCATCTAGAAAAATCAAACTATAACCAATACTACATACGAAATTTTTGGAGGCTCTCTATAAGAGTGGACCCCAGTGCCAAATACATATTGCACCTCCTAAAAGACGGTCTTGCTTTGGAGCTATTGTATTGTCTTATGGAGTTCATGTAGTTCGGTTGGTGTTTGCTGTAAATATTGCGAACTAATTTTTTTTACAAAACAGTTAGGGCCTGTTTACTAACAGAGATATTTTCCTGTTTTTTACTTCTGTTTTTCGTTCTCCAATTTTCTGTTTTTATTTTTCAGTTTTTCTATCTCCAATTTTCTGTTTCTATTTTTTAGTTTTCCATTTTCAAATCTAAAAACATGTTCATCAATTTTTTTACCCAGATCTCCAATTCCACACCCTTGACCCCTACCCTTACCACGATCTTGCACTCTACCCATACTCCCCCACAACCCTTCATACCCATCCATACCTACTCGTAGCGGTCGGGGTAGGGAAGTTATGGGTGGGGGTGAGGTAAGGGGTATGGTCGGGGTGGGGTGGTAAGGTCTAGGGGTAGGGGGTTGGGTGGGGGTAGTGGGTGGGTTAGGGTCGTGGTTAGGGGTAAGGGTGGGGTAGTGGGTAGGGTTTGTGGTAAGGTAGAGGTAGGGTATGGAGTTGGGATAGGATGGCGGTAGGGTGGGGCCGGGACCGGGGTGGGGCCGAGGTAGGGAAGGGGTGGGGGGTAGGATGGCGGTAAGGGTGGGGGTAGTGGGTAGGGTTGGGGTAAGGTTGGGGTAGTGGGATAGGATGGCGGTAGGGTGGGCCCGGGATCTGGGTGGGGCCGAGGTAGGGGAAGGGTAGGGTGGGGGTAGGATGGTGGTAGGATGGCGGAAGTATGGGTGGACTCGAGCCGGGTCGGGCCCGGGTCGGGCCTCCGGTTCAGGAATGGGGGGCCCGGAATAGTGCCGGGCCGGGCCGGTTCCGGGTCGGGCCACCCGCCCCGAGTCCACCTCTAGGCGGAAGGGTGCTGGTAGGATGGCGGTACGAGGGTGGGGGGTAGGATGGCGGTGGGGTGGGGGCGAGGTAGGCGCATGTGGTAAGGGGTAATATACGGGTGGGGGTAGGGTAGGGTGGGTCGGGGTGGGGTCGAGGTGGTAGGGGGTGGCAGTAGGGTGGATCGGGGTGGGGCCGAGGTAGGGGCATGTGGTAGGGGGTGGGGTAGGGTCATTATAGGGAAAAATGGGTATGCGGGGTGGGATTGGGTTGGTAAGGTAGGGTAGGGTAGGGGTAAGGGGTAAGGTACGAGGATGGAGGTACCGGAATGGAATCGACATCGGAGCGGGACTGGACCCACCACTAGGTGTACGTATGCAAATTCATTGCAACGGCACTGTAGCATCTGCGTTTTCCAAATTTGGAAAACTAGTAAAAGTCACTTCTCCAAATCATTAAGGAAAAGAGAGACATGTCTCATTTTTTCCGTTTTGGAAAACGATTTGGTAAACGCGTTTTTCTTTTTTCTTTTCTCCAGTTTTCCAGGAATTTCTTTGGTAAACACGTTTCCCGTTTTCTGTTTTCCAGTTTTCCAGTTTTCTGGAAAACTGGAAAATATCTCTGTTAGTAAACAGGCCCTTAGATTTTGTATGACGTAGTATAAATGTATAACGCAACATTTATAAAAGTGCTTTTTTAATGAAATGGGGATAAATGATTAAATAAAAGTTGATAGTGTTTGAGAAAAAAGTGATTTTGAAAAGTAAAAGTGGGTAGTGTTTGGTAAAATAAGTGTTTTTTGTGTAATAGAAAAAGTAAAAGCACTTTTGACGGGGAAGCCGAGAAAAATAAAAGTTGTAGTGTTTGGGAAAATAAGTGCTTTTTTAAAGCCAAAATCTGAGAAGTGCTTTTTTAAAAGCAGTTGCAAACCAACCCTAAAAGATGCATCGTACTAAATTACCGGTATTTTAAGTGGCAATGAAATTGTCCCAATCTTATGCTTTGCTAGTAGAATTTCATTCTTACTTTTATACAGCATTCCATTTTTGGATACACTTAAATACTCCTATCTGCTTCCATGATCTTTGCTTATCCCAACTCTTATAATAACAATCTCTAAAAAGTTGATGTGAATGGTGATAGGGGTGGATTGGGACCGGGTCGGGACCGGGTCAGGACCGGGTCAGGTCAGGTCTTGGGCGGGTCTAATTTATTGGGGATTAGGCCAGGTATTGGCCCGGATGGTTTCTGGGCCCGGGTCGGGTCTTGTATTTTTTTTGGGTTTTTCTTATTTGTTCCTACCCTCACCCCCACCCTCATCCCCAAACCCCCCGAAACCACCTAGCTAGCACCCAAATTGACCCAAATGACCCAATCCATTCGAAAAAAAAGGTATATTTTGGGCCGGACAGATCTCGGACCGGCCGGGCTGGTCCACCAAAAGGCTGACCCGTAGGCCGCCCCAACCCCCCGGTTCGAGCCTAATGGACCGGTCCCGATATGCGGGTTGGGTCGGTACGACACAGTACTGTGCCGGGCCGGTCAATGGGCTGGTTGAACCTTTCCTGGTCCAACCCTAGATGGTGGTAGTAAAATATATGAGCCGTGTTATTTTTCTTATGAGGTTTCTTGATGAAATTACACGGAACAAAATGAAATATATTGTAGATTGTAGGGATGAAATCATGAAAAAGAAATGACAAAAATATCAATGTTTGCAGAGTCTAAAAATATGTTTAAACCTATTTTGAAACAATTTATCTTCAAAGTGATAGAAGTTTTAAATTTTATAACAGATAAGTAGATATAACATAACTTTTAGAATATTTGTATTGATTTTTTTTATTATAGATGTAGCATTTTTTTTGGAATAAGATGTAGCATTATTTGATTTCATCAAATGAAGCTAATTTTTTCAATAAACTTGCAAAAAAGAAGAAGGAATTAGTTGTAAGCAACTTAGATATGATAAATTTATAGTTAAACCATCAAATAAGTTTTGAATATTTGAATCCATATTTCATAGCTTTTAATAGTTGTAATGTGAAAGCTCTTTAAACTTTGAACAAACAAACTACTTAACTAGTCATTTTTTTAGGTGGATGGAGTATAATTTTTACCCTACTGCTTATTGTGATGGTGTTGCATGATATTTGTATTAAATTTAAGAGTTGCACTTGGGGTACACACTTTTTGGTGTAGACGCTTTTACACATGTCAATGTAGGTTTTTTTTGCCTGTAAAGACAAAATACGTTTTATCTGTGCATACAAAAAAACCTACACAGACTACACAGATATAAGTAAAAGCGTGTACAAATAAAAGTGTCTACCTTTAGAATTTTTCTAAATTTAAAACTTAAGACTGATATAAATGGAAATAATTACACAAGGAAAGTAAAAAAAGACTTTGGTTCAAATATTTCGAGTGCAGACTAACTGATTAAGTGCAGTGACTAACTGACAAGGAACGGTAAATTTATTTTTAAACATTTGATACATTTATGAAGTTTTTAGTTAGACTGGATTCAATTCTTGATCAGATAAGATCAAAATAGAATTAAACGGGCGAAATCAGACTAGATCGGATCAGACTCGATTATATCACACTTCAATAGTAGTTAAATACATATAAAACATCATCTAATAGATCAGATCCGACTCGTGTATCCAAACACGTGGTTAATAATTATATTTGAACAAATTTATAACAATTAGAAATTCATTTTGTTGTACAAAATTTGACACACATTAGGTTAACAAGTAACAACGGTAGGAAAGAGGAGAAAAGTAAAGAAAGAAAAGAAGAAAAAGTAAAATGTGGAAAAGGGTAAGTCGGTAAGAGAAAAATATTGAAAAAAATGAAGGTGAAATTGAAAGTGGTAAAAATTTTCGGGAACAGGCGAGTACTTTTCTTTGTTCTGGTTTTATAACTCATAATAATGAAATTCAAGTTACTCATTTTCCTTATAAAATGCACATATTGTAAAGCATCGGATTGTAATATTTTTCGATGTCCTATGTCTCCTATGATATCACAATATCACATGCTATTAAAGATAGATTTAAATACTCCTTATTTTTTATGTAATAAATATTCGTGAGTAAATTTCATCATGTACTTTTTTGTGCACCGCAAGGCCCTAGCTACCAATCCTACAACAGTCCATGTTAGTAACTTTTCCTAATAACCATATTGATCGAAGGCACCTACGTTTAGGAAAAAGGATATTTGGCATTTCCATTCCTCGCAGCAGCAACAAAATCAACATTATACATATACTAATAAATCTTGGCGCAAATATGGTCTGTATAAAATCAAATACTTCGATCCGTTTCTCTATCACAAACTAAACTAAAAACATGTTCATTGCCAGACAACAAAGCCCACGAGGACTCATACTTGCTTTGAAAGAGATCCTCTTAGGTCCTCTGCTGCATTCAATAGAATAGAACAAAAACATTAATGGTGATGATACAGAATTTGATGAAGGTGGTAGTAATACCGTAGTGGTGATGAAAACAATAATAAATAATACGC